TTAAAATTTGTAAGAAATAATTAATATTTTTAAAATAAGGTTAAATACTAAATTTGGTCCCTCAACTTTATTGAGTTGCACTTTTTTGATCTTTCAACAATTTTTTGCATTTTTTTGATCCCTCAACTCTAAAAAATGCATAACATTAGTCCTTCCGTCTATTTGAACGTTAACTCTGCATATGTGGCATTTTTTATATTTTTTTTATGATATGGGTAATTCAACTGAAAAAAAAAGATAACATGGATTGTCTAACTAGAAAAAATAATGACATGGAGATAAATTTTTATATTTTTAATAAAAAAATAAAAATAAAAATAAAAAACCTCTCCATTTGTTTTCTTCCCCCTCTTTCTTTCTCTTTCTTCTTCCTCCTCCTGCTGTCTCCTCTACTGACCAAACCCTGCCAAGCTAGGATCCTCCTCCCTCTTTCTCTTCTTCCCCCTCTTGCTTTCTCTTTCTTCCTCCTCCTGTTGCGACCCGCCAAACCTTCTTCACCCTTTTTCTTTCTTCCTCCTCCGGCTAGTAGGTTCATTTGAACCCAGAACGCTGGGTTCGTTTAAACCCAGTTCTGGGTTCCATAAAACTTGGGTTCCATTGAACCCAGATCTGAGTTCTGTGGAACCCAACGATCAAGGTTAAATGAACCCAGATAGCTGGGTTTTGTAGAACCCGGATCTGGGTTCAACGGAACCCAAATTGCTGGGTTCCACGGAACCCAGTAACAAACCCAGTTCTGGGTTCCATGGAACCCAGCAACATGAGTTCAAGTAACTTGAATTTTTGGGTTTTCAAACCCATGTTTATAGATTTTTTTTGTTTAGTAACTCTAGCAATATCTATGCATATATTGAACCCTTTTGTTTGATGGATTTTTGTTTCAAATATTGCGGTTGTGGGATGGTAATTTAGTATTATGAATGCTGCAAAATTTTGTTTGTATGTTTTGATTTGGTTATTTTTCTTGTAAGTATATGATCAATAAGCTGGATTGAAGTAGTATGAATTTTTAAAGTTTTGATTTTGTTTTGAGAAAGTAAGAGGGGAAGAAGAGAAAGAGGGGGGAGAAGGTTTGGTCGATCTTAGCTTTGCTAGGTTCAATCAGTAGAGGAGGTAGCAGTAGGAGGAGGAAGAAAGAGAAAGAGGTTTTCTTATTTTTTTATTAAAAATATAAAAATTTATGTCCATGTCATCATTTTTTTTAGTTGGATGATCCATGTCATTATTTTTTTTTCAGTTGGACTATTCATATCATCAAAAAAATATAAAAAATGCCACATGGACAGAGTTAACGGTTCAAATTGACAGGAAGACTAATATTGTGCATTTTTTAGAGTTGAGGGATAAAAAAAGTGTAAAAAATTGTTGACAGACCAAAAATGTGTAATTCATAAAATTAAGAGATCAAAATTAGGATTTAACCTTAAAATAAATACTTTTTAAATTTTGCCGACAACCTTCTATAGGGACTTGAACCTATGAGCCAAACTGGATCCCACAGAAGGTCAAAAACTCAAAATCAAAACCAATCAGACGGCATGATAAATTTATTTTTAAAAAAAACTGTTCTATGATTTAAATTTTTTTTTTTTGAACAAATTGTCACGGGACTGCTCAAAACCCGACCATAAAAAAAGGAGGGAATGCACTTCAAGCTGGCTAAGTACCAGTTGATCAGAAGGATTAGGTGCGTTGTATGATTTAAATTATACAAACAAAATTTTTTAAATTAAATGTGAATCATATAATATGGAGTGACCTCTCCCATCCAACAGTTTTTATTATCAATTTAGTACAACCTATACTGTAAGATAAGATACCATTATTTGAAGAGTAATGATTCAGCAGACAAAAACGTGGGACGAAAACGCGGGATGACAGTGATACAAGATTAATTTATGTAGTGCAATTACTAATTTGATCCCTTTATATCATTGTTATTTCGCATTTTCATCTCACGTTTGCGTTTTCATCTGCTGAATCATTACTCTTATTTGAATGTTAGATAGAATTCTCTTATTTGAATGTCAAATCACAAAGTCTTGGTCACATGCACATGACGTTTTTGTTCCAATGCCTGTAAATCATATTATAAGTGTACCATCAATTCAATGTTTAGATTTTGAATCCTCCACCTGAAAGTTATAACCTGTTCAAGAAAAAAAAAAAATCTTGGTCACACAAGCAAAGAACTTAAAAGATTCCAAGCTAGAACTGAGAATGCCGGATTCTGTACTCTGCACAAACCAAGAACAGAGTCTATCGTGAAGCAGAACTGCAGCAGTAGCAGGGAGTGGAACCAGCTCTGGGTAGAGCTTCCACCCAAATTGGTATTTTAAGAATAATTTTAATACTTTTTAAAATTAAAGGATAATTTTAATATAAATTTAAAAGTTGAGAGATTAAATTGATATTTTAACTTGAAAAATATTGACTTTATTTTTTATTTTACATTTTTTTAATACATTTGATTAGCTAATAAGATGACTCTCTTTTTGTTAAGTCTTTTTCTACCTGAAACTCAAGATAACGTTATTTTTTTTATTGATCCAGCCAGATATAGAGCCAAAGATGTTTGCATTTTTCATATAGGGCAATGGCGACTTATGAAGTACTGCCACCTGAATCTGAAAA